CTTTTAAATTTGATTGGCGGGCGGCGGAGGCAATCGAATCTGGTCAGAGGTTACTTGACACGATGAAGATAGGCTACAGTGAATAGGTTAGTGTCAACTAGCTCTGAAGCTCAGGGTGCAGAATTGCCAACTTAATTGCTTGTTCATGTAACAAGAAGCAAAACATGTTGTAGTTCTCCACCTGATATTTATACAATGCAGCATATAAGGCACATTAGACTATATGTCACTTTTAATCGAAAGAATTTACAACAATGTATGAACATCTTGCTCTTTCATTGTACTTTGGTTGTGTATGAGATTGTTTAAGTATTGCAGTTGTTTCCTCATTTAACAAATCTATAAGTGTTTAAATGTATTTTTTTCCATCTGTTTTAGGACTTTGACGGTGCACTAGATTGTATAAGTATTGCAATAACTTGTTCATTCAACAAACGTGGCACTCTGCTGGCAGTTGGCTGTAATGATGGAAGAATTGTTATTTGGGATTTTCTCACCAGGGGGATAGCCAAAGTGATCACTGCTCACGTCCATCCTGTCTGTTCTCTCAGGTACGTCCTGTGTGTGTGCATGTGAGTGCGGGCACAGGCGTGGGTGTGCATGGGTGTATATGTGTGTATACATGTGAGTGTGCTTGTATATGTTTGAATATGTATGCATGCTTATGAGACGTGCATGCATGTGTGTCCATGTGTGCATGTGTGTGTTTGGTTATATTATCTTGTGGAATTTTCAATTATTCAGGTGAAACAACAGTTCATTGGTGAAATATTTTTGACTGGTTATAAAAATATAGTTGAAAAAATATAAATTATCTTCTGAGAAATAAAGAAAATATCCCTAATGAGAAATTTAAACTTTTTAGCAATTTTGTGTATACTTTGTTTGTGACCAGTATTCATTGAGAGTATAGTAATAAATATTTCCTCTGTTTCCTTTCCAGCTGGAACCGTAATGGTCATAAACTTCTAAGTGCTTCCACAGACAATAATGTATCAATATGGGATGTGACGACTGGGGAGTGCGAGAAGTCCTACAGGTTCCCCTCCCCAATTCTTAAAGTTCAGTTCCATCCCAGAGACTGGTAAGAACCTCCTCCCCCTTTCTTACTTAGGCATGTGTGTGCATGTGCACGCGCGCACACACAAACACACACACATTTTTAAGTTTCTGTTTCTGACTTGCTGCTTTTTCTGTAAGAAAATATTGTCATCTCCATGAATACTTTCAAGTGACTAGCAAAAGTATTGGTGAAAAGGCCACATTGTCTACTTTAAGTTTTCACCTCCCTTTAGTCTTGTATTCTAATTAAATGATAATTTACCGGAGCAATATCACCATTATTTGCTCTCTTTATCCAAAATGGTCTGTGCAGTACAGATCTAGAGGAGGAAGATGCTACAGTTATGGTACAGGTGACTGCTGTGAAAATGAACTCATATAATTAACTAAATATTCAATTTTTTTGGTGAAATGTTGACCAGGATTCTTTATTTTCCAATTGCAGTAACCGATTTCTGGTTTGTCCTCTGAAACATGCAGTGGTTCTGGTCGACACAGAAAAGAAACACAAAATTATTCCACTGGACGATGAGGTAGGTGACGTGAAGGGATTTGGTATTTGTAAAAAATAAAATATCAACAAAAAGTCAGTGTTGTGAAGATAAGATTTACTTAGTAAATTTCTTTTAACCATTCACATGAGACACAATGTGTATAATCTTTTGAAATATTTCAATGAACTTAAGTCTGACAACATTACTGCTTGTTATGACCACGCAGTATTGTCTGCATTGTAATTTAAGTCCAGTGATAGATTTGAAAATATCCAGATATTTAGCTGACACTTTCATTTTATTCTATAGTGTTAGTTCATTCATCTTGAAGATGAAAAAAAGTTAACGGTGAAATATGTGTTGTTTCTGGTGAATTTCAATCTTGTGGGCTTGGATTGAACAGATCCTGAAAATGAAAAGAAATTGTAGATTCATTTTGTGTGCATGTTGGAGCTCTTAAGGATAATATTTTCTTATATTTCCTTCCAGTCTGATTTGAACATTGTGGCCTCCTTTGACAGAAGAGGGGATCATGTTTATACAGGAAACGCCAAAGGAAGGGTAAGACACAGATTGTGGACATTTTATAATATTGATAAATGAGTTTTTAAAAATAATATTTAAAATGTGAAAAGCGGTACCAAATCTGTCCTTGTAGGAAATATTCGATTATCAAAGAGTAAATATATGAAAGATCTCCTTGGCATCTTTTCTGCCAGCTTGTCATTAAGTTCTTTGGGTGAAATTACTTCTGTTTGATTTGATGTGGCACATGTCTATATTTCAGCTGGTGGTGCATCCTTAAGAGACAGTAACGCCCCTCTGATCCTTTACTTGAGTATATTCCCTGTGTACATTTCAGGTTTTGGTATTCAACGCCAGTACGTTAGAGATTGACGCCTCCTTCAGAGTAACCACGGGAACAAGTAATACCACGGCTATCAAGTCTATAGAGTTTGCCAGGAGAGGAAAGTAAGTGTGTGGTAGCTTTGCGACTTTGTGTTGTCAGGGATTTGCATGGCTCATCCACCTAAAGATGTTGCATTTTCACAGAAAAAACTTCAAAGACTGAAAGTCAGTTTTTATTTTTAGACAGAAATTTTGGTTTACTGCAGGATAAAGAGATATGCTGTGGCCAGTCTCAAAAAAAAAAACAAAAAAAAAAAAAACTTAAGACCAAAATTTTTTGATCAGCACGGATTGTAACTTTTATAGTACATACTTATTTCCAGTTGTTTTCTGGTGAACTCAGCAGACAGAGTCATACGTGTTTACGAGAGTGGAGAGGTGCTAGCATGTGGTAAAGAGGGAGAGCCAGAGCCCATACAGAAGTTACAAGACTTAGTGAACAGGTAAAAACAATGATTAAACCCCTTCTCATATAATGAAAAAAGATATTATTAACTCTTTCAGGTAAATTATTAATTAATTAATTTATTTATTTATTTATATTTTTTTAAAGAATTGGACAAATTTCTGGAAGAAAATTGAAGAGAGAAGACAAAGAAAAAGATATTGCTGAACAAAATTCTTTAATTTGTAGTCCAGGCATATGTCATGACAGGAAAGAAAAAAAGCAATATTGGACAGAATCTTGTAAAGTTCTGCTGTATTTCAGAACACTGTGGAAGAAGTGTTGTTTCTCTGGGGATGGGGAGTACATAGTGGCCGGGTCCGCCAGACAACACTCTCTGTACATCTGGGAGAAAAGTATGGGAAACCTGGTGAAAATCTTACATGGAACTAAGGGGGAAATGTTACTGGATGTCGTTGTAAGTCTGTGTTAAAAGAAAAGAAAGAAAAATAAGGTGACACATTTTGAGGAATCTTGAGAGATGGCACCTTTGGTGCTATTTAAGTATTTAAATGGTTGTGTCTGTTCTTTTTGCCTAAAGAATTCAAATTTCTAAACAGTGTCTAAAGAATTTTCCATTATTTCCCTTGGAGATAAACCACTTTGTCAGCTAATAGAATCTGGGGTTGCTGCACAGGGATGAAATATTTTCAAATCATGTGGAGGAGAAAATGTTCATAGTTCTATTATTATTATTATTTTATTTCCAGTGGCACCCAGTGAGGCCAATTATAGCCTCTATATCCAGTGGAGTGGTTTCCATATGGGCTCAAAATCAAGTGGTCAGTTACTGATTCACATTATTTCAGTGTTCTTCTAAATATCAAAATTATTGTTATAGATTTATGTTGAAGAAAAGCATTAATTTTTTAAATAACTAAAAATTTGTAATAAATAAATGTAAACAAAAGCTTGTGTAGCTATTTGTCATACATGCAAAGAAATAAAAGTTGTAATCTGTAATTACTACTCAAAATTATTTTAAAGATTTCTTCATGAGAGTTGCAAAGGGAAAACAAATAAAAATTGAATAACATTTGCAACAGTAATTGCATACAACAACCTCTATAAAGTCAACATCAAGAAAGATCAAACTCTCTTTACAATTATTCTTTCAGGAAAACTGGAGCGCTTTTGCTCCTGACTTCAAGGAGCTGGATGAGAATGTGGAATATGAGGAAAGAGAATCTGAGTTTGACCTGGAGGATGAAGATAAAGAGGTCCAGGAAACAAAAGGTGAGAGATAGCTACTGGGGGGTGTAGTATAGGCTGCAACAGGTGCCCTGAGGACACAAATTACAAGAACAATTAATTTGGGAAGAGAAAAATTTGTAAATTGTTCAGTGACTGTTGGCAATTTATATCATTATAGCATCTAAAATATTTGTCCATATTAATTAAAGTCATTGTTTTCTATTTTGAGACAAGATATTGTTGATGTAGGTGCTGATGAAGAAGACACAGAACTTATTATTATAATAACAGCATGTTGTCATTGTTGATGTAGGTGCTGATGAGGAAGACACAGAGGTAGATGTGACGTCTATAGAACCCATTGCAGCATTTATCAGCAGGTAAACACAATATTTTTATCTCATAATTTCCTTATGATTTAAGTGAAGTGTATTTGAAAACAGGAGCGCAATTTTAGCTCATTGCTGTATAGAATGTAAAAAAGTTCAAATTAGTTTTCTAGTGACATATTGAAATCACAGTCAGTCTAAAAAACTTGCTATCTGAAATGTATCAGACAGAAAACTTGAGACCCATTTTCCAACTTCTGAAGTCAGTCCAAAATAAGTCTGGTGGTACAAACTCAGGAAGTGACCATGCCCCTCTGATCCTGTTGTTTTCCATCATAATTTATTTGTTATCTTCCTCCAGTGATGAAGAAGGAGAGGACGAGGAAGCCTTGTTATACTTGCCGACGGCCCCGGAAGTTGAAGAACCGGAAGAGGGCTGGGGGGTGCCGCCCCAGGAACAGCTGGTATATAGGATGGATTTTTTTTTTTTTTTTTTGACAGATATTTTGATAATTTCAGCTAATCAATACTGTGAATATAATGTTTGATATATTTGGCAAAATACTATTAACAATCTTTGGTATTAGGAGAAATTTTGGACAAAATAAGTGTTAAATTTGCAGAAATCATCATGTTGATTTTTTTCTGTCAGTTTAAAAAAAACATTTCAATAGAATTGATGATGAAAAGTGTAAAAAGCAAGTAAACAAAGCAAACAGTCAACCGCAGCTGTCAGAACTTAAATAAGTTGATAATAAATACTAGTCTCAAGTTTCTGTATACGTAAGTCAGTATAGTTATTGGAGCCTTGCATATGTAGTCTTAAAACTGGTTTATACCATGAGCAGTGCTTGGAATGCTAGGACAGTTGCACATGTATTTCACTTATAAGAGGATGAAAAAGAGAATGGAATGCCTTGAAGTGTATTGAAATACAGGCAATTGTACACCTTTGCAATAGAAATACGGGTGTTATTGCCGTCATTTGATTTGCCAAAGGTGAGATAAAATGAGTAAATTTACATTTTTCTCTCTTTGAGGTGAAGGAACACAATATGTTAGATGCATTACTGCAGCAAATCACATTCCCACACATTCATATTGGGCTGGAAATGTTAACCTCAATTCTAAGTCGGTTTTACTTCTTTTATTTTCCCCGAGTAGACGACTGAAGAACCTCAGACGAAAAGTGAGAGGAAGAGAACAGCTCAGCAGTCACCAGATTCACAGCCAGCCACCAAGAAGAAAAAGCTGAAACCTGTGGACGTAGATCTGCCAAATGCCCCGGCTGATGGTAGGTACTGCTCATGTTGTGTACTTGGATTAAGGAGAGAGAGAGAGAGAGAGAGAGAGAGAGAGAGAGAGAAGGGGAGAGGGGATTGGGAGTGAGGAGAGGGTAGGGGTTGGTGGGAAGAGACAGAGAAGAGAGAGAGAACGTATTATTTATGTTGCTGAGATTAAGGGAGGAGAAAGAGAGAGAGAGAGTTGGAAGGGGGTTGGATAGGGGTCGGGAGGAGAGAGATGGAGTGTGGAGGGAATTGAGGATGGGGAGGGGGAGTAAAAGTAATAAAATTTAGGATTTATGGTCATTTTAGATTATGTTGTCAATCCTGTTAAAATGGAATGATGCATGTTCATCTGTTCATGTTCCAGAAATCCACCCACTTCTCAATGTTAAGAAGCCTCAGGAGAAGAGTTCATCACGGAAGTCGCGGCCTGGCAAAGGTCAACAGAAGGCCAAGGCCAAGGTGCCGGCAGGTGTGTGATGTCACACGGCAGGGCATGGTAGGCACGCTTTGGCTTCTAGACTCCTTCTCAATCCCTGTCTCTTTCTGAAAGCTGAGTGCAAGATGAAAGCTTGAAATGCTTGGGTTCAAATGGTGGTTTGTAAACTTTTGGTTATAAAAGTGGAGAGCAGAGGCCGGTTTGACACAAGTGCTTAACCCACCATTAAGCAGCAAGGGTTTAGCTCTTAAGAATGTCTTCTTAGATAGCAGATTTGCATACAGACGTGACTCAGAAAGCATGTTCAGTTTGTACCTTTGTGCAACATATTAGTTCTACATATCTTTAGAGAAGGCAACTAGGAAAATTATCTGTGGATAACTTCTGTCTCCTTCTATACATTGCCACATTGTTTCCTCATTTGTCATTATCTGTTTTTTTTTTTTTTTTTACAAGCTTCGTTTGGTATGCCTGTCTCTGGTTGCCTGAGCCAATTTCTTGTTGAAATAAAAAAAAAAGAAAAACTCAACATTGCTTTCAAGCTTTTAGATAATGTACCAGAATGACCTCATTTTTTAATATTCTTCTGCATTTTGTGGTGCTTTGTATTATTTATGTGTATTATAGCCTATTTGTAATGTTTACTTTTCCTAAATGGCTTTATGATACCCACTTAGAATACTGCATTAACTTCACAGTGAAGTTTTTGCCTGCCTTTGAAGCTGTCATAATTTTAATATTTCTGTTTTTGAACATTTGGTTGACATTAATTGATGTATGTTTTTAAACAGAGAGAAAATAATGTAAATTATTCATTCAGTATGTACAACAGTAACTTTGTTTTTTGTCTCCTTTTGCAATGTATCGTATATTGTTGTGTATTGTATTTTTTTTTAATTAAAAAGGGTGATATATATAGGCCATTAATAATAATAATGATAATAATTATGTAAAAAGAAACTGCTTTTATCTTTTCAGATGTTGCTTACAGACCCTGAAGACCAGTATTGTTTACTGCAATGCCTGCATAGCTGGATATCAAATAACAGATACAGTCTCTTCTCTGTCCATATTCCTTTGCACAGCCAGTGATATGGACCTTGTAGGGGAAAATTGTCTTTAAAAAAGAAATCAAACTCATGGGGAAAGTGTCTGTTTGCTTAACTAATTCTTCAAATCTGTCATGGAAGCCTATTCACAAAAGATGATGGAGTATAATTTTTGCAGTTTTATTGAAAGAAATGCAACTCATACTGTTTTACGTATTGTGCATAGGAAATTGTTCTATACAGGTTATTTTTGTCGCCAGAAACCTAGAAAAAAACACCATGTTGGGTGGCATGGTAACCACATAGTCTTCAAGTGGTGAAGTAATGGGGAATGTTCCTAGTCTTTTTGCGTATTGTTTGTGAGATATCAGTGACCATTTAAAGTCTTTGTGATGAGGACTCAACATTTTCTCTGATGTAATTATTGTTAGTCCAGTAAGGGAGTTAAAACAGTTCTTATGCATACATGTGGTTGAATTTTTTTGTTTCTGGGGAGTTTTTTCTTGTCAGTGGCAAGTTGACTGCATGACTTTCATGGGTTCTTAGTCTTAGGTGTTTTCTACTTCCAACTTGGGTTGTATGTAGAATACTATAGAAATGCACAGAAGGAAAGAAAATTGTCACACTTTTTAACTAAATTAGGGTTAATATTAATTGATACAGGTTGTACATAATGTACATAAATTCATGTCAGTGGCCTTTTTATACAGATTTCTGTGGTAAAAATGTACTTGTGAAAATATTTTAAAAAGTGTACACTTTAGGTTGATGCAACTTAGGGTTAGCAATTGTGTAGAAAATTGTATAGTCTTGTCTAAACTACTAAATGTGTAGTCCCTTGTTTCTAACCTTGAAATCTAGACAGTTTGTACATATGTATAAAGGTATACTACATACACTTTGTAAATAGACCTGCTGATAATGTCAGTAATAAAAAAGCAAGTAGAAGTAAATGTTTTGTTTTTTAATACAAAGACATGTACAGTATGTATCCTGATCAGTGAGCTAGTGGTGCACATTTTGTTTTTAATCCTCCAGCTCCTATTGAAATTAATTTAACATTTTATCCATGCTTTTCATTTTGACAAAGACATTCACTGCCACACAAATCCGTCAACATATTGTAACATTGAACACATTAGAAGCATGTCTGAGCTTTATCAGGCAAGAAGGCAATCATTCAAGTAACAATTTTAAATGGGGGGGGGGGGGGGAGTCCTGTGATGTCAAGCTAAAAGTGATGTACTGTTGATATCGCAATTCTTTACCTGAATTTAACTTAATGCCCAACTCATATACAATTCAAAATATCTGGTTCCAAAAGTTTAAGTCCTTGAATCAGCATTTCCTTGTCTTAAATTGTGTTGGAAGCAAAAAAACACAAAGAAAAGAGGAACTGCAACTTTAAACAAATTTCAGTGCAAAACTACTTTATTTTTCCATTAAAACAATTGAATTCCAAAACAGTACAAAGACTGCAGTGAATGGGAATTCATCAATAAAATAAAACAATAATTTACCAATTGACCATCACTGATTCTTTAAAATACTATAAATAAAGGCTTAAAATTAAATTTACATATTAAAAATGTACTTTCAATATAAACTCTAGATCAAGGCAAATTCCAATTTGAAGACTTCTTCCTGTAATCGTCTGTTCTCACATTGAAGCCAAAGTAAAATACACACTAAACACTACAGTCACTTCTAGTTGGTGCACAGACAAAGTGTAGGCCTTCTCTCCAGTTATTGTATAATTTTTTATAAGTCACAATACTACATGATTCAGTTTTTTAAAAAATTAAAATATAAAATCAGAAATGTTGAGGCAATTTTTTTTAAACAAAAGGAATGTTCAGCAATAACACGACAGAATTTGGATAAAACTGAGTTGAGATGTGCAAGAAAATTTCTGTAATTTCCCTGAAAAAAATATCTACACCAACAAGTGAGGCCGAGCCTTTCTGCTGATTGTCTAGAAATAAGTTCTGGTAATTCATCTGAGACATTCAAACTTGTCTTTTTCCCTGTCATTTCCTGACAAACCCAATTTCATGTAGTAGTTTTAAGCAAGTGTTAAAGTTGTGAGTAACATCCTCACTTCCTCAGTATAAAAACCTTGATGCAAGCACTAGTAGAAAAGCCTACAGTTTAAAATCCTCCCATATCATGTGACACGCTTGTGTTTCAGCCTATAAAGTACTAGTATTTGGTAACGTCCTATCAGATTTGATTCTTCCTTCACTTTTCACCATCCTCCATTCCTGCCTGTGTCATCAGATCTGCAATGTTTTTCTCTAAGTCATCAATGCGATGGCCCATGTCATCTAGTGCACTCAGTTAAGAAATCATTATCAATAATTTCAAAATGCGACTCTGTGCCAAGCTCTTAGACTATTGGAGATAATCAACCTTAATATGAAAATATCATTAAATATGCATGAAGGGAACAACTCCTCAGTAATTAAGGAAATTATTTCCTTATTAAATTGCCTTAATTCCAAAACACAATACCATGAATGATACATAAGAACTGACATTAAATTGCTTTTTTTTGTAACATATTATTATCAGTAGCAGTTTTTGACACAAAACAAATAAATCCAGCAGGCAATACAACAACCAAAATTAATCTATTGGTCTTCAGAACTAAAAATTTAATCTCAGGGATGGTTTCTTCATTTCACCCCAAAATTTAAGGAATCAAAGAAGTACATTTGTTGTGTTAAAGGATATTCCTTGTGATGATTTGATCTGACATGTTCTGGAATTTGTCTTGCATCTGCTGGAGGACATTTTGTACCTAAAAGTAAAAAATGTACAAAATATTGTTTGAAAATGTTTCATTACACTTGCAGTTTCACAAATTCTGATTTGGCCAAAACAAAACATAGTAAGTGAGGACAGTGCTTTAAAATAATGAATAATGTTCAAAATCATACAAAACTTAACGAATGCACACTTTGTAACTGAACTTTTATTGATTATTGACGTCGCCCCATTAGGCTTTAGACTAATGTCATTGTCACCAACTTTATAATTGTCGCCAAGAAATGACATCGCACTCTTCGCTTTTATAAGGTAACAGTCACTCCAATTTTGAGCCCAATAAATTCTTCTTGGAAAAAACTTTTCATGTGAATACTTACAAATGTTGTAAGATCCTGTATGCTCTTAGGATCAGCGCTGTTTGAGATGTAGTCTGATTTCACCACGTCCGCCATTCTTCGTTCGTTCTGTTGCAGTGACGCGCTGCAGGTGCGCATGACAGTTGACCTTGACATTTTAAAACAAACAATTTGGGTTTGTGCGGTTATCGGGAAAAATACTGATAAAAGTTTGATAAAGGGTTTATTAACCACCGTTTTTCTTATCTCAAATTCAAAAATATGATTGTTCTCGTATTTATTCGCCATATCAGGAAATAGGTCATTTTAGCGGAAGTGATGACCTAGTTAGCGGCATATTTGTTTGTAAGCAAATTCTTGATGTGAGAACTGCTGTTTATGTGGGATCGAATAATAATTTAACCAACGTAATGGCAACAGCCAGACATAAGGATCAGTTAAAGAGCTATCTAGCATCGCACAGAAGTCCGGGGAAGGTGGTTGCTGATAGCAAGTCTGTCGGAAACGCAGGGAAAAAGTCCAAAATTGAAAATGACAGGTGAATATTTTAATTCACAGTGTACCGGTACATGTACTTGCTTGAAAGTTAGTTCCGAAAAAATTAAAAGAATAATAATGATAATGGCTTTTTGGGCCCTTTAATATCCCAGATTATATTTACACCATTTTTATTCATAAACAAATCAAAACATTTCAAAAGTATAGTTTATAATATATTTTGTTTATTTGTTATTATTTATATACTTTTACAGACCCTCATCAGGAGGTGACGTAAATAATATAACCAGAAAATTCACGAAATCTGTTAACGTATCCTCGGGACCAAGTTCTCCAGCATCAAAACCCCAAGACAGGAAAGTAGCAACAAGACACCCACACATTAAAACTGCAACCAGTGTCACAAGAAGAGGGAATTCAGTCAAACCTGGCAAAGTTTCTATCAACGAGTAAGAAGGTTTTATTTGGTTTAAGATGTTTTAATGTAATGAGAAAGATTTCAGAACATTTAAACTTTGCCATTGGGTTAAAAGTCATACTTAGATTATATGTAAAAAAAAAAAGTTTGGTTATGGTTTCTTAGCCTACATTATTTGTATCTTTGTATTTGTTCTAGCATCATCAAAGAATTTCTTCAACTTTTTAATTATCTTTGTTGCTAGCACACCATTGAATTTTTGGTTTTTCCCCACTTTAAATATGTATACAATGTATATGTCAATTTTAGACCTATTTTAGCTTTAAATAAATGTTTGTCTATTTTAGCCTCCCAGATGAAGTTTTACGTCAAGTATTTTCAAAGCTTGGAGCAAGTGACTTGCTGACGTCTGCCAGAGTGTGTACAAGATGGAAGACACTTGCAAATGACAAGTTAGTCAAAAGTTCTTTAATTGGGCAGTATTTCTGCCCCATTAAAGATGAATTCCCTTTCATTATATATCTGTTTCCCCTTGCTCTCACATTCTTTTCTCATAAATCCATTGGAGTTAAAATCAGAAATTCCAAAAAAGTTTGAGTGAGGAATAGATGTTATTTGGTGTAAATACTGTTGGACAGTCTTACTTTATTCATGACTTTGTTTGTTTATTAATTTTTAAATTTTATTTACTTTTGTAAATTGGAAACTTCTTTGTTAAATTGTATTTGTATGAATGAATTAACAGACAACATTTTTTTTTTATTTCAGTAAACTGTGGCAACAGATGTTTAAACTGTATGCAGTGAAGGTGAAAGGACCCCTGCCAAAGATACCACAACACCCCCCAACTGCCTTCTGGAAGAAACACTGTATTGACAGGTACAAATAACTTAAATAACCTTACTGTTGTTAAAGTTAAAGATTAACACTGCCAGGATACCACAACACCCATCCACATCCTTCTGTATTACCAGGTACAATTAAATAATGTACTAAATAATGGAACAGTTATAAAATATCAAGATTAAAACCAGGTTTGTATGAGCCTTAGACTGCATTCCCATAATCTTAGTCTGTACTAGCAGGATCGATCTATATCGGCCGAGATTTTCACTAAGACAGTCAGTGTAATCAGCTTAATTGTCTGGCACTCCCCCTGGCATAGCAACATGATTACCTTCATAGACCACAAAGTTTTCCCAACTTTACCCAAGGACTTTAAGTGAAGAGAGGCGTGCCAGACATTTAAGCTGCTTAAACTGAATGCAATTTAGTGAGTATCCCCAAAGAGTTACATCAATCCAGCTAGTACGTGTGCTAGATTTATGGGAACTCACTTAGTGTTATCTTTTGTCAAAAGGTGGTGACACTTGTTAAAGCCAGATTCACATTGTGGCGGTGAGAAACTTTTATTATTTGAAAAAAAAAAACTTTTATACAAAATGCTAACTTTATTTCAGGTGTTCTAATCATAGAAATTCAAGGGCACTGGCATTACTGAAGAAGCAGAGTCCATTTACATGTTTGCCAATGAAAACCAAAGAAGCACTTCAGTGAGTAAACGATCATTATATTTTATCTTTCTCTACAAGAGTGGTGTTATCTGGTAAACCTACTACACCTAAGGATAAAAATGTTTGCAATACATGGCAGTCGCACTTTTACTCAGTAAATGTACACAAACTCCAATTACAGAAGAGCTCCCACTGTCATGTAGATCACAACCTTCTTTAGAATCATCAAATTTCAAGGAAAATGTTGTGATTGGGGTGCTTGGCATTGAAAATGTGAAAATTAGATTTTTTTTAATTGGTTAATTAAATAAGTAAGTAGGTACCATTTTGCGTGGGCACATGGATATTCATGTGAACACACACAGAACAAGTCTTAAAGTTTTCACACTCAAGTATTTCCTGTCTCCATGGTTACAGGAGGGCTGGTGTCAGGTGGCATCTAGTTCTGACAGACAGCAGTAGCATAGAACACACTTTGGTCTGCCGCGATATCTTCTACTTCCCCATGTCTGTGACCTTGAGGTGGTATGACCTCCAGATGCCCTCTCTGGCCAGCATCAGGAAATTGGCAATTTATGCTGTGAATCCAGTCTTTTTCAATGACAAGGGAGAACCCTACAGCAACAGGTAATGGTAATAGGCTTGAGTATACTTTTTAGAAATTCTGTTTTTGAAATGAAATAGATGCAAGTGATATTTTTGGTTCTTTTTTTTTTTCTTTGAAGTGTTAAATCCAATACTGTGCTGCATGCAGTGTTGTTTAATTTTGTTTTGAGATTTAAATTAAATAGTGTCAGTGGGATATAAATTTAAGATTAATAGAAGTAAAGAGTTTGTGGCCAAGTGCAGTAATTTTCTGACATTACTGAATTTTGCATGTACCAATACACAGCAGTGCCATTATTTTTGACTTCTCATTCATTGTAGTCCCTGCCAGAGATCTCTACTTAAAGAAATGGCCTTTGAATGGAGGAAATTGTCTTCTAGATTAACTGTAGATGGCGCTGATGACCAAGTCCTTATTCACTGCTTGTCTGATTTAGGAATACTGCTGGCAAGGTGGAAGGTATGGGACTTAATTATGTTGCCATGACTACAAAAAACAGAATATAAGGCAATAATTGGAAACATTTTGTTGACATTTTTTTAAAAACATTTTTTTCTAAGTTGGACAGCAGTAACCACACAATTTTGTCTTTTAAATATCTTGTTACAAAATTAATTTGATTGACCTGATTATTGAAATACATCAGAGATAGAAAAAATGTGTCAAGTGACACCCATCAATTTACAGAGTTTTTTTTTTCACATTTAGGGGGATGGTGAGTTGGCATTTATTGCTGTGTCTCTTCATTCCAACATGTTAGTACAGAGATCCCTTATGGGAACAACAGACAGGTATGGAAAATATTGTATAATATTGTAATTCTTATTCATTTAATTTAATTTAATTTATTGAAATTTGATATGAAGAACATTATTACTAAGGAATAGTAGTGGAGGAGGGAATGCATTCACAACTGAATGATATATATGATGATGATAATGATATTTCTTAAGAATATAAATGATAATTCTTAATAATTTATATTTTGCAAAAATAAAGTTATTGACATAAATTTAAACTGCGAAAAAGCAGTTGCTTAGAAAGTGTGACACATGATCACAAATTTCATAATTTACATGTATTTATTAATCCTGCCAAATTGGTGATCTTTCAATACTTAATTGCTGGTTTATAATTCTGAGATCATGAATTTTCCTTCAGCGCCTACCTCCCCACCCCACACAAGATTGTAAAGGATGATGTTGACTCTCAGTACGGTGAGGTGGATGTTGTAATGTGGAGACCTGGTTTATTAATTTTCTTTGAAATGCTTACTGACTCAGAGCCTTGTTTAATTATTACTTACAGTAACTAAGATGGTCACAGAAAGAAAAGACAGAGCATATTATCACTGATTCACTGCAACAGATGTCAACCTGTTTAAAAAGCTAGGCGTATGCATTCAAAATTGTAAAATTGAACGTTTATTTAAATTGTTTTCAATTTTTTTTATTTTAACATATTGAGGTTAGCACGTTTTGAATTATTTTGTTATAAAAGCAAGTTACTGTTAAGACAAGATATAAACAGAATTGATCATTATATTTTCCAAAATATTATTTAGATGTTACATAATTGCCAGTGAAATAACAGAGTCAAGAAAATCAGTTTTGCCATTGTGTTAATTTCATATTGCTATATTTTGTAATTTATATAATTTGTTTATATGTTGTTAGGTCTCCATGGTTACTCATGTACAGTAGAGCTACGAAATTTCAGAAATAGCTACTGGAGTCAACAATTTCAACATTTACACTGCAAGAGAGAACACATGGGTGAGTGGGTTATTATTTAAAAAAAAAACATTTTTCAATGGCAATATTTGCCTTAATTCAATAATATTTATCCATTTTTTTAAAATTAAAAAAAGTACTCAGGTAGATGCCATCCCAAAATATTTTTGTAGCACCCCATTGTGAATTTTTTTCTTTAAATATGGTGCACAAGACTTTGTTAATTTACTCTCCAGCTAGAGAGAATTCCAAAACTCCAAAACAAATCAATGAATAATCATTATATCATTATGTATTCTATTGCTAATTGATATTTACATTATGATCATACTTCTCAGCTGAAATTCTAGGTGGTACGTAGGTGTGGCATGTGCGTGATTAATGAAAACAATCGATTTATGGTAGCATAATTTAATAAGAATTATGAGGATGTCAGTAATAACCATATATAAATAATGATTTTGAATAACTTAATTTTAATGGTTAATATGTTTCCTATCCAGGTGGTGGTTTTGCTGTGCTGTGTGCAATCCGTCCAGACTTCACCTCTGATCATGTGCCAATAGATAAGAAACTCAATATGCCATGGAAAACTGATCTTTTCAAAAACATTGTGCAGGTAAAATAACAAAAAAAGGCCTCTGTAGAGTTTCTGAAATTGCTGCATAAAAAACCTCATATTTGTGACATATTGAGTGATTTTACACATATTTTTGTATTATTGTTTTACTGAACCTACAAAGTAATCTAGCCAAAATGACATTGTAACCTGATCACCAGGGGACCATTCCCACAGATATTTGGATCTATCTATCTCCCTGGGGAGTCTCACTAAATTGCTGTCAAACTAACTGCCTATAAACGTCTGTCATGCCTAGTAAAACTGTTAGGGGGTAATTATCTTTACCCCTAGCTGATTCGGTAGGCATGACAGACATTTAAGCCTCTTGAGCTGATAGCAATTTAGCGTGAACCCCCAGTGAGTTAGGTTGATCCAGATGGATCGATCTAAATATGGGAACCCAGGCCAGGACTTCTGATGATGGATCATGTTTAGAAGTCCTATAAAAGAATAGAAAAAAAACTTGACAATTCTGTTGTCTCAACTAGATGTCTCTATAAACATACAAAGTTAAATGTTTCTGAATATATACGTCTCGAGTTTGTGAAAATATAATAATAATTTCTTGAATTCTGTAAATGTGACAAACTTCTCAAAAATTTCTCTTGATGCTTTCCAGAAGTGGATTTTTGTGGCTTCTTTTTCTCTTGATGTGTTCAGTTTGTATAATTTACATTATTATAATTCTGAATCAAAATAAAAAGTGGTTTATGTCCTATTCATTTATACTCGGACAACTGTGTGTTCTTTTCAGGACGTTTGCGTCTTAGATTTGACATTACTTGATGAAAGAAAAGACCCGATGTGGTGTATCAGGTAAGGTAATGACTTGGATCATAGCAATAGGGGAAAAATATCAATGTTTCAGATACATAATTTTGGAATTATTAAAATACATGCCTGTGTAGCATTTTGGTGCTTTTACTGTATTGTATATAACTATAATAGTTTGCTTTACAATTGTGTTTCTACCACTCAGTAGGAATGTTGTAAGAGTTACTTAAATAAATACAGTATCTGTAAAATTCAAAATTTTCCCCATTGAAACGACTTGTCGAGTCTTTACCATAAACTAAATTTTAATATTTCTAAATTATTTATTAATAGGTGATTCAAGATGGTTCAGTGCTGTAATTAAAATGAAGACATTTTGACAATAAAATTATATTAGTATTTTATAAATTATTCCTGGGAGTTAATTTTTAAAAGAAAATTTGCCAACACATAGCCAGAATTAACTAATTCTTTGACAAGTGGAATTTCAATATTACGCCAGTAAGAAATCCAAAGTCAGCTGTACTGAGCTTATCCCAATACTCTGCCTTTGTTATCTTTCAGCTCACCAGTGGCAGTACATCAACCAAAACATAGTATGGGTAAGTCTTTACACAGTGGCTTCAGTTTTGGGATTTTCAAAAATCATTTAGTCCTGAGAACAAGAAGTTTAATCTTATATCCAGTTCAAAATAGGGTAATTACTAGTCCAAGGGCCATATATGGTGACCCACTACAAAGCTTGCTGTCTAATCTGCTAATAGACACTGAATAGATATCCCGTGGGGAAGCATTCAAGTGGGTCGGCCATATTTGACCCTCAGACTAGTTAGTCCCCTGTTCTGAATGAGGCCTTAGATCTTATTTTTGGCCAGTGTATTTTGAACCCTACATCCAAATTAAGTTGTATGTTGGATGCGCCACTCTCCAGCTATTACTTTAACCTTCCATCTTATTTCATGAATACCACCCTTACAATATTGAAAAATCATGTTCTTTTCAGTGAATTACGACTATGGGGGCGACATGTACCACATTGCCTATGCTGATAACAGAGGCAGAGTAACACTGCAGTTAATATGGGTAGGTTGTCTAGACATAAAAAAACAAGGAGAAATAAGGTTTCTACATACATTTACATTACCAGTATGTAGAAGGTTGAAACAGTAATATAGAGTTATCATACATATAATTTTATAAGTATTTCAATGTGCTGCATAATATGTATGTGCATAGTGGTACCGTAAGGATTTGTTATAGTGTGCACTGCTTCATACACACTGTTCATGGTACATATTCATTATATACTGTCTCAAACAATCTCTAAGTGAAAGTAAAGTTCAGTTCTTATGTGTTGCACTCCTCATACATCTCAGCACTTCTTACATTGGAGACCTGGTCAGACTAGGTGTTTACTCTCACCTTCCTGGGGAGGAGACAGTCTGTCATGCACCCCCTCCCCCTCTATCCTTCCCCCCTCTCTCTCTCTTTTTAATGGATTGATTGACTTTCTGTATTATCTATATAATTTAATTAATTAATTATAAATAAATTTAATAGAAGAATGGATTGTTTCAGTTAAACTGATCAGAAACTTGTCTGTTTTTAAGGAACCAGAGAGAGAGCAGCTGATAATAACCTGTTTGGAACTGTCTCTCTCTTCTCAAACCATCAATCATTGGTTTGGAACAAGTTATTGACACCTTTTCCATAGCAGACTTACGCATCCAGCAGGGTCTAGAAACGTGTTGTCTGGCATCAAATACCGCTACAAGACACAGGACTGTGGATGGTTCAAATACCAGCAGAAGATTCATGGAAGACAAAGGTCTATGCCATCTGTACAAGTTCTGTGGCCAGCTACTGTGTGCATAAGGCCTTTTACAGGCCCAGAGGTACGCTTCAAAGTACACTTAGTTTGATCTGTCCTCTCTGAGAGACCAGCCTGGATATTCAGACAGTCTGTTACTGGAGTGGAGCCCACGCAAATAACACAGTCAGTGACGAAGCAAGCTCAAGTATGAGAAGGTGTGAAAGTGTGCAAAATCTTCTGAAGTGTAATTGTCATTAAGCTGGCCTCTCAAAATAGTGGACTGGTCCAGTTTTGATTTGAAAAGGGCCGTAACTCAGTGGGCCCCCGAGGTACTACTAGTCCAAATCCTAGTTGAGCCAGCCTGACCATGACATTTCTGGACAGTGGCAAAATAACAGCTAAAATTGTCAGTAGTCTGGTTGGACATGTCACTTTGAAAAACTGTTTTCACCTAAATGCTTATGTTCACTTGTCACAGACTGGGGGCCAACACAGACAACTGCAATATCGACTTTTGAAATGTACCTTTTTTATGTTGGGTTCTGGGAGATAACAGACAGTATCTCTTTTATATATATATATATATTGGTGTACTGTCCACATGATGTCTTGAAGTTCAAGGCTAGATTACTATGAAGGTCAAGGTCAGATGACTATTAAGAAATGGCCCCATGTGATAGATAAACAGGGACTTCATTTAATGTTTGTTAATAGCTGTCAGTGCAAGATAATCTATGATATTTTCTTTTAATTTTTCTTTTATCATCAAATTCTGTCTACATATAAAAGATAGTTGAATTACTTTTCACCATTGTGTATTTTGAATAAATAAAAGTGAAAAACAAACAACCATGGTTTAACTAGTGTTTTTTGTCCTCCATTTTTATTTACACCTAAAACACCAACTTTGTTTTGAACAACTAACAACTGAAACAAGCAAGGCTTAGTAGCAAATTTTTCAACACATTCTTTTTCAACTTAGCTCTTCATCTCATTCCACCTGTGAGTGCCTTCCAAGTGATAGAAACCAAATCTTTAAAAACCTTACTAAGGAGTAACTCGACGTGCATACGTATAAATTGCAATCAACTATGTTAAAAGATGAGTTTTTCATCTTCTTTATGCACTCCTGTACTTGTCACTGCAATTCATCTGTAAAACCAATCCAACTCAATAAAACGGTGGATGGTTTAGATTAAAGGCCATGTTATGTATCGGGTAGTGCACCAAAAGCCAGTTTCATCTGCTCTTCATAAGTTTTACTTTGCATATTCTTTAACGCTGGTTCCATATTTATTTTCCCAGTATTCTAAAACATCCTTCTTCAATTGCTCTCGTTTAGCAAAATACTTTGGGTATGCCGCCTTCTCCTCTTCTGCCCATTCATCCAGCAACTGCAATGAAGGATTGTACTCATTACTTACAGTCTAATATCCAAGTAGGTTCAATAAACATAATCTGTCATTCTTTGCTAGTGGTTACAAAATGTTGAATTTGACCGAAAATTTCAAACTTTCTCTGGGAAGCTGTAATTTTGCGATGTGATAGCTACACCATCACAGTTTATCATTTCATAAAAAGGGAAACAGCAGCTGCCCTTTTTAGGGCACACAGGAGAGTTGAACAGCTATACCCACCAAATCCAAGACGCGTTACCCTGGGTAATATATTTTGCACAAACTAATGAAAGTCTAATGGAATGTTTTCAGTTTTAGTTTAAATCATAAGGGGGTGTTGTCTCAATGCTTCAAAACTGGTTTTGAAGAATTTAATCCACATTTCATAATTAATAAAAATGGTGAATATGTGGGTCACGGTAACGTTATTGACGCGGGTACAAAAACTTTTTATAATCATGTAAATAATAACAATATTTTTGCTATTATCCATACACACTTCAATCATGAGGGGCACACCACTTTCACATGCTTTTAAAATGGAATTGACAAACACAGAGGAATAATGCACATATTTTATTTACTGTAACTCTGTCACATGGGACACACACTGAACAAAGTTGATCTAAAGAATGTTCCAGATTGTAGTTTTTTATCTGAATTATTATTTTTTTATTATTATTTTAAAACAATAAAGTTCAGTTAAATACAAAATTTAACAAAATGAAGTTCAGTGTAACACAAAGTTCATAATTGTAACATTCTTCCTGACATATGTGGACCAATGGTGATATCTGTTCTGTGCTCACTAAGGCATCCACTCTTGGGATTCTGAAAAAAAATCACACAAAGAATCTGTTAACTTTGATAACGAACAATGGATAACCTAAGATCACAAATAGTTTATTGCTTATTCAAACAAATTCCAGTGCATTATGAGTGGCAAACACGCATTACTGAGACACATTTTCTACACCCATTTTCGGTGCTTCATTGCGTAACGTAAGTGTTGCGAGTAATCCATTATTGCTGTTTTTACAGACGGTTAAATTTTAAACGCACGGAATAGAGTGTAGCAGCTTAATTTAAGACAAAACTAAAAAAAAGTAATTCAATTTCGATGATTGAGTTCGAGAACAAGGGAACATGAATACGGTATCACCGCATCACCATGTTCAATATGACTTTTAGTCCCCCATGTGACACAGACGCAAAACGAAAGTTCAGACGATGTCACCCTACTTATAGAATGGTAAAAATCAATCGGTACACAAACATGTTGAAACAATTGAAGAAAAATGAAACGGAACTCGTTATTTCTCACCTTCATACAAAGAAGATCCCTATAAACAATCCTGTGGCGGTTAAATCGAGGGAATTACACCTGTGCCCTGCATCCCATCTCGACAGCGTCACTGACATGACATGTTATCAGAATGGGATACGCGCCAGTTTGAGGTGGTTTTTCAGTGTGCAAAAGAAGACATTCGTGTGTAAGACGTCATCAGTTAGTGAGTATGGAAGAAGATCGTGATCGATGTATAATTTTCACGCGGCATTTTAAAGTCGTCTGATAAAAATCGATCTTGAAGTTTCAGCGTTGCGAACGTCATTGGGACGCGGTGAAGAAAAATCGACCTTGCTGAGCAATAAATGTGAAATTCTTAAGAAAACTGATATTATCATGGATTTCGTGACACAAACTAACCGACATACTACTTTGGACGATTGAACAGTTTTAATACGGAAAGATAGGATTAGATGAAATTTTCATCGGGGTGGGACACCGCATGTATCGTAAGTTAAGCTAATTTTGTGATCATTTTTCAGTGACTTCAAATAAATTTTTATTTAAATAACAATTTGCACATTCTGTTTATTATATCTTCTTGCAGTAGATGTATTTCCTGCTTCAATAATCCATTCAAACCCTAAACAAACTGTTCTTAAATAGAGGTAGGGTCAAAATCCCACAAAAAAGGACACCATTTTGAGGGTAATTTCGATATATTTTCTGCTTTTTCTCTTTTTTTGCTTTTATAACAACATCCTCCTTGCTCATGCAGCTTCTTTGATTTGTTATTGAAACATACACAACGATGTCATGAGAATTTGGTCGGCTATCTAAATTTAAATTACATTCTTGTTATGGTCCCCCCGCAGTGCACCACTAGCAAAGAATGACTGAAATGAAAAACACAAGTGGAAGAAAATCTTCCAAGACAATTTGATATACATCAACTTAGAGGACAATGGAAATATACTAAATTAAGAAAAGTTATTAATTAAGATTTAATTTATTATAATGAAGTCACAAAGATTTATTAACTATTTCTGGAATTTTTCATCTGTTAACTTATAATTACGTTCATCACTTGATAAAATATGGTTCTGTATAATTTTGCTGCAGCCCAAGCAGAACATGAGCCTATCTTTCTCTCTTTTATCTAATTATTTCCTTAGGGGTGAAGAAATGTCGGATCCAAAGTGTGGGGATTTTGCACCAAGAAAACAACATTATTATTATTATTTTATTTATTTTTTTTTTTGGGGGGGGGGGGGAGCTTACCAAGCATACAATGAATTACTTTTTATTTTCTAACTGATACTCCAGATTCAAAAAGAAATTTCACATTTCTTCCAATCCACATACTAATGTCCGATGCATTTTTCCATTTAAAAGACATTTTCAAAAAATAAGATTTTCGTTAAAACAAGGTTTACTGTGCTTGTTAAACAACTTATCAATTGTGACTGGCCACATGGCTCTTTGTATCTTTGATGCAACCACAGCAGAATATGAGTGGTAACCCATTAAGCTCTTCATGACATGAAACTGCCCTTGAAGTTGTCATTACAGGACCCCGTTCACAAAAGTCTCAACACAGCCTACTACACTTGTTACATTTGGGCTTAGATCTGACTGCTATTAATTATTGGTTAGCCTGCTACACTTGTTACATTTGGACTTAGATCTGACTGCTATTAAATATTGGTTAGCCTATTACAATTGTTACATTTGGACTTAGATCTGACTGCTATTAAATATTGGTTAGCCTACTACACTTGTTACATTTGGGCTTAGATCTGACTGCTATTAAATATTGGTTAGCCTACTACACTTGTTACATTTGGACTTAGATCTGACTGCTATTAAATATTGGTTAGCCTACTACACTTGCTACATTTGG